CACAAAGATGAGCCAAAAAGCCAGAAACAGTCAATTCCTGAGCCAATTCAGCTTCCTGCAGAGAAAAGAAGGATCCAGAAAGATGAGCCAAAAAGCCAGAAACGGCCAATTCCTGAGCCAATTCAGCTTCCTGCGGAGAAAAGAAGGATCCACAAAGATGAGCCAAAAAGCCAGAAACGGCCAATTCCTGAGCCAATTCAGCTTCCTACAGAGAAAAGAAGGATCCACAAAGATGTGCCAAAAAGCCACAAACAGTCAATCCCTGAGCCAATTGTGCTTCCTACAGAGAAAAGAAGGATCCACAAAGATGAGCCAAAAAGCCAGAAACGGACAATTCCTGAGCCAACTCAGCTTCCTGCAGAGAAAAGAAGGATCCACAAAGATGTGCCAAAAAGCCACAAACAGTCAATTCCTGAGCCAATTCAGCTTCCTGCAGAGAAAAGAAGGATCCACAAAGATGAGCCAAAAAGCCAGAATCTGCCAATTCCTGAGCCAATTCAGCTTCCTACAGAGAAAAGAAGGATCCACAAAGATGAGCCAAAAAGCCAGAAACGGCCAATTCCTGAGCCAATTCAGCTTCCTGCAGAGAAAAGAAGGATCCACAAAGATGAGCCATAAAGCCAGAAACGGCCAATTCCTGAGCCAACTCAGCTTCCTGCGGAGAAGAAGGATCCACAAAGATGAGCCAAAAAGCCAGAAACGACCAATTCCTGAGCCAAATCAGCTTCCTGCGGAGAAAAGAAGGATCCACAAAGATGTGTCAAAAACCCACAAACAGTCAATTCCTGAGCCAATTCAGCTTCCTGCAGAGAAAAGAAGGATCAACAAAGATGAGCCAAAAAGCCAGAAACGGCCAATTCCTGAGCCAATTCAGCTTCCTGCAGAGAAAAGAAGGATCCACAAAGATGAGCCAAAAAGCCAGAAACGGCCAATTCCTGAGCCAATTCCGCTTCCTGCAGAGAAAAGAAGGATCCACAAAGATGAGCCATAAAGCCAGAAACGGCCAATTCCTGAGCCAACTCAGCTTCCTGCAGAGAAGAAGGATCCACAAAGATGAGCCAAAAAGCCAGAAACGGCCAATTCCTGAGCCAACTCAGCTTCCTGCAGAGAAAAGAAGGATCCACAAAGATGAGCCAAAAAGCCAGAAACGGCCAATTCCTGAGCCAATTCAGCTTCCTGCAGAGAAAAGAAGGATCCACAAAGATGAGCCAAAAAGCCAGAAACGGCCAATTCCTGAGCCAACTCAGCTTCCTGCAGAGAAAAGAAGGATCCACAAAGATGAGCCAAAAAGCCAGGAATGGCCAATTCCTGAGCCAATTCAGCTTCCTGCGGAGAAAAGAAGGATCCAGAAAGATGAGCCAAAAAGCCAGAAACAGTCAAGTCCTGAGCCAATTCAGCTTCCTGTGGAGAAAAGAAGGATCCACAAAGATGAGCCAAAAAGCCAGAAACGGCCAATTCCTGAAACAATTCAGCTTCCTGCGGAGAAAAGAAGGATCCACAAAGATGAGCCAAAAAGCCAGAAACGGCCTATTCCTGAGCCAATTCAGCTTTCTACAGAGAAAAGAAAAGAAGGATCCACAAAGATGAGCCAAAAAGCCAGAAACGAACAATTCCTGAGCCAACTCAGCTTCCTACAGAGACAGAAGGATCCACAAAGATGTGCCAAAAAGCAACAAACAGTCAATTCCTGAGCCAATTCAGCTTCCTACAGAGAAAAGAAGGATCCACAAAGATGAGCCAAAAAGCCAGAAACGGCCAATTCCTGAGCCAACTCAGCTTCCTGCAGAGAAAAGAAGGATCCACAAAGATGAGCCAAAAAGCCAGGAATGGCCAATTCCTGAGCCAATTCAGCTTCCTGCGGAGAAAAGAAGGATCCAGAAAGATGAGCCAAAAAGCCAGAAACAGTCAAGTCCTGAGCCAATTCAGCTTCCTGCGGAGTAAAGAAGGATCCACAAAGATGAGCCAAAAAGCCAGAAACGGCCAATTCCTGAGCCAATTCAGCTTCCTGCGGAGAAAAGAAGGATCCAGAAAGATGAGCCAAAAAGCCAGAAACGGCCAATTCCTGAGCCAATTCAGCTTCCTGCGGAGAAAAGAAGGATCCACAAAGATGAGCCAAAAAGCCAGAAACGGCCAATTCCTGAGCCAATTCAGCTTCCTACTGAGAAAAGAAGGATCCACAAAGATGTGCCAAAAAGCCACAAACAGTCAATCCCTGAGCCAATTCAGCTTCCTACAGAGAAAAGAAGGATCCACAAAAATTAGCCAAAAAGCCAGAAACGGACAATTCCTGAGCCAACTCAGCTTCCTGCAGAGAAAATTAGGATCCACAAAGATGAGCCAAAAAGCCAGAAACGGCCAATTCCTCAGCCAATTCAGCTTCCTGCAGAGAAGAAGGATCCACAAAGATGAGCCAAAAAGCCAGAAACGGCCAATTCCTGAGCCAATTCAGCTTCCTGCAGAGAAAAGAAGGATCCACAAAGATGAGCCATAAAGCCAGAAACGGCCAATTCCTGAGCCAACTCAGCTTCCTGCAGAGAAGAAGGATCCACAAAGATGAACCAAAAAGCCAGAAACGGCCAATTCCTGAGCCAACTCAGCTTCCTGCAGAGAAAAGAAGGATCCACAAAGATGAGCCAAAAAGCCAGAAACGGCCAATTCCTGAGCCAATTCAGCTTCCTGCAGAGAAAAGAAGGATCCACAAAGATGAGCCAAAAAGCCAGAAACGGCCAATTCCTGAGCCAACTCAGAGCCCTGCAGAGAAAAGAAGGATCCACAAAGATGAGCCAAAAAGCCAGGAATGGCCAATTCCTGAGCCAATTCAGCTTCCTGCGGAGAAAAGGAGGATCCAGAAAGATGAGCCAAAAAGCCAGAAACAGTCAAGTCCTGAGCCAATTCAGCTTCCTGCGGAGAAAAAAAGGATCCACAAAGATGAGCCAAAAAGCCAGAAATGGCCAATTCCTGAGCCAATTCAGCTTCCTGTGGAGAAAAGAAGGATCCAGAAAGATGAGCCAAAAAGCCAGAAACGGCCAATTCCTGAGCCAATTCAGCTTCCTGCGGATAAAAGAAGGATCCACAAAGATGAGCCAAAAAGCCAGAAACGGCCAATTCCCTGAGCCAATTCAGCTTCCTACAGAGAAAAGAAGGATCCACAAAGATATGCCAAAAAGCCACAAACAGTCAATCCCTGAGCCAATTCAGCTTCCTACAGAGAAAAGAAGGATCCACAAAAATGAGCCAAAAAGCCAGAAACGGACAATTCCTGAGCCAACTCAGCTTCCTACAGAGACAGAAGGATCCACAAAGATGAGCCAAAAAGCCAGAAACGGCCAATTCCTGAGCCAATTCCGCTTCCTGCAGAGAAAAGAAGGATCCACAAAGATGAGCCATAAAGCCAGAAACGGCCAATTCCTGAGCCAACTCAGCTTCCTGCAGAGAAGAAGGATCCACAAAGATGAGCCAAAAAGCCAGAAACGGCCAATTCCTGAGCCAATTCAGCTTCCTGCGGAGAAAAGAAGGATCCAGAAAGATGTGTCAAAAAGCCACAAACAGTCAATTCCTGAGCCAATTCAGCTTCCTGCAGAGGCACTCCATGTAGAGGAAGAGGTAATTAAGTTAGTACAACAAATGAAACTATTTATTGCATATATTCAGCTAACCTATTATTTACTATATGAAGTGTGTAACATTCACAGATCGACATGTTATGGACAAAACCACTGATCTGGTTGTAGCCGTTGTGAAGTCTGACACTCAGAATCTGGAGTTCCTGTTACATCACAATGAGTTCCTAACACTGAGGCCGCATGAATGGATATTCGGAGAGGTACACATATCATAACAAAAATATTTCTTGAATACAAAATTGTACAAGTAAATATTTTTGTACCTAAGACAAAGTACTAAATGCCAGGTGCTAAATGTTTTTTCTCAATGCATGTACTAATTTAAATAAACTGAATAATTGCAATGCTTTATCACTTTTTCTTTTTCAGACGATTGAGTGCTATTTAAGAGCTGTACTGAATGCAAAGGGTGCAAATCTCTACCAGCTAAGCCATTACACTACAGGTGTCATTTTAACCCTTTCACACGTAAGTTTAAAATATTCTAACTGACCCCCCAGGTGAGTTTTTCAAGGCGACCCTTATTTAGAACCTGTCACTTTAATGTTTCCATGGTGACGCGTCATTGCTTGTCACGTGACAGCGCAATCACAACACAGAGCTGAATGAATGATGATCTGCTTTATGTCTTTTTTCCTTTTCTATTCACAATATTCACAAATGTTTCAGCTATAGCATGAAACACTGATATTCCGATTGTCAAATATGTGCAAGTGGATGTGTTTTGTTGTTTAAACATCTTATAACGATCGCGTTAGTTGAGCTCTATGCGCGATGGGCGGCGCCATGTTAGTTTGTTTCACAGTTCAGAGAATCGGATCTGTTGCTTCTCACGAAATACATGAAAGTAAGTGGCCAGAACTGGGAGAAGAACAGGGTAAAATGTAAAGCTATTTACACAATGTGTATCTGATATGAATAAAACGTTTCGTCTTATTATAATGGAAAGGATTATTATTGCCGCTTCCACAGACAACAGTGTGTATTTTACAAACTCAAAATCATTGTTTTGCTAGTACTTATGTGTATTTAAATGTCTGAAACCTAAAATAAACATTATGTGGTTTAAAATACTCAATAGTTGTGATATATGACAGCACTGAGTGCGTCCGTCTCTGGCTCAGCGCCAGCCAACGCGCGAAAGCACGTTTGAATTTAGCAGTTGATCACGTGATGCACTGACCGTTCTAATCACACCGGTGTGATCGTACGCTCCAGGGACCAGCCAAGACTGATCACGTACGCGTGAAAGGGTTTTTTACACAAAAGACCGGGTCATACGGCAAGGATTGAAAAAAGTGAGTGCAACTACTTATGATTCTGCATTTTTATATTTTACAGTACACTGTACAGTTGATTTACATTTCTGATATACAGGTCAACTTCGAGAGATATGATGGGGTCATATCTGTTGTCAATACCACACGCATGCACTGGAGGTTTGTGGTAAGTAAAAAGATATTATTAGTAAAAAATATTGTGTTGGATGAGCTATTACAGATAAACATGGATACACCCATACAAACATGTTTGATCTTTTCACAAATTGAATGACTTTTTTTTGTGTTGTGTGTGTGTTATATTTAGTATCAACATGCTACAACTAACACCATTTTCATACTTGACCCTCAATGTGGTAATAATGAAATGGAATTTGCCACACAAGCGTGCACAAAATTCGGGTATGTTATGTTGATTAAAAAACCTGTAACCTTTTTAGATCTACAACACCAATATTGGGATATTAGCATATTGATGTTTCTGAAGACCACCACAACCCCAAACACTGTATTTTTCCTACAACAGGGACTATTTCAGGATGAGAGGAAACCTGTATGGAAGAGAAGACTGGGTGGACACTGTGTGGAAGCCTGGAACAATCAACCATTCATTCCAGGAGGATGGTTTCAACTGTGCTGTCTTTGTGATGCTGGTAAAAGAAGGGAAAAGTACTTTACATAAACACTGTTCTCATCTTTTCCCATATGAGACTGTTAATGTTCACCGCTCTCCTTCTAGATGGCCAAGCAGGTGCTGGAACACCTTTCCGAAAATACCTGAGAGCATCAATATAACACCCAGCAAGGAGGAGATGTGCCACACCAGGAAAAATGTGGCCAAAGTGATTTTGCAGGCATCAGTTATTGGTAAACTATTTTGAAACAGTTTCTTTCCAGAGACAGAGTGATTGAGTGTAATTATCTACATTATCATAATTACAGTGTCAAGAGAAGAGTATTGCTCTGTGTGCGGACAAAAAGACACAAAGACAAATGGCAAAAAGGACCAAAAAGAGAAGCTCGTCACCTGGGTATTCACTATTCTTTTTTTATCTATTTGTTGAAAGTGTAGACATGGGTTTTCCCAAATAAATTCATAATTACAACAGTTTATGAATACAACACGTCCTATTTTCCTTCCAGGTTCAATGTGAATTATGCCAGAGGTGGTTTCATGTCCAGTGCCTCAAAATGAATCTGCCACCAGAAGAAGAACCATGGGTTTGTGGTTGTAAGCTATTCAGTTAGAGGAGCTCATGCTAAAAGCGTGTTTCAATTGTAAGAAATATGTATTTGATCATTTTATCATCTGGATCTTAAATATCATTTAACCAAATATAATCATGTTCTAAGAAACATTACTATCAGGGTGATGTGTTTCTCATTACCATCATCATCATTTGAAATGTATGTTTGATGCTTTTCTTTCTGTATGCCTCAAATGTAGCTGATTGACTTAGGGTGAACTTTTGTACTTGCTGTTTAGATGAGGTAAAGACTCAGTAAATTTCCATAGACAGACCACAAATGCTCAAATGTCTCAGAATAAAGTGACAAACGAAAGTTATCTTAGCTAAACATCTTGCAGAAGGGACATGTTGTGCAGTACTTCTGTATTGTGTATTATGAACATTAAGATAAACAACTTTCTGACTCTTTTAGGGTACCAGACAATATATGCATTTATGTGTGCATGCAACTTTTGATCCTGATTATGGATGAATTAATTTGACTCTTCATTTATTATTTGATTGTCTGCCGTTAAGAAATAAAAACATGTTTTACTTAATCATCTGACTTGGTCTCCTCCATTCAACAACAACAACAACAAAATGCTCAATTTATAATAAGGGGTTTTCACAAAGTTTCTGTTTAACTTTAGTCACACTTGTCCAGGCAAATTATCCCCGACCCATAATTTCCTTTATTAAACAGACAATATATTTTCCCTTCAATTCCTTAATATCAACAAAATATCCCACATTGTACATTATTTATTTTCAGAACCTTTGGACATAGCTGTCTTTACATGGAAGTAAATAATGACACTTTTTTTAAAACAAAAAAAAAAGCTTGTTGAATTGGACTACTTGGGGGAAAAAACATGCATTATTAACCCTGCTTGCATTTCAATGCATTGTATTTTAAGGGCTTGCATTTTTATTGGCTGAAATTCAACATGGTTATATATTCAAGCTGTGAATATTTCAAAACATTTCAAACACGTCTTCATTATTAAAAATTCAATAATCCGTATTCACCTTTTAGATTTCCCTTTCAAAATGTTCATTCTGTTTAAAAATACAACCTATAAAACTCAACAGGCAATTTTCAGTCCGTTTTATTTCTCTTTACAAATTCACTTCCATAAATTCAGTGGTTAAAATTCCACAGAAATTTCAACATTTAACATCCAGGAACGGCAGGAATATCAGTAGATCGCCGATTAATAATCTCCATATATTACATAAACATACTTAATAAACATATGTAATAATATATATATAATTGTACAGTATGCAAGTTATTGTGGAGATTTCACCTGGAGCAAGTCAGCCCGGTCGCTAGGAAATCACTACGGCCTTTGGATAATAAAAAAATCTCTTTGGTGAATTAATGTAATTTCATTCTAAAATATTTGTGTACTGTATGTACAGTCAGGCAGGTATTGGCAAAATCTCACATGTAGTAAGTCAATACCTAATAAATTCCTCAATACACTGCAAACAAACTCTGCCCCAACAGTGGATGTGATATAACCACATTACTGGACTAACCAGTGGATCAGTTTCATCGCAGCATCTCAATCAAATGTTGGTTTGATCGTTCTGAAATCTCTGAGCCAAAGTCTGTCATCAGAATGATTCGGTTTAATTCCCTCCCAGAAGCGTCTCACGTGATTGTTCACAAACACCAGCATCAGAACGCAAGAGAACATGACAGCCTTTATAGCGTTTCATCCGTGCGCTCTGAGACGCAAGTCATTCATGATGGAGGAAAGAAGGGCCACAGTTGCAGCAACTTCCATTTTTATTACAGATATTTTGATATTTACAGATACTTAACACTATCTTCTCATATTTAACCCAAGAAAAAAACAAAGAAGTTTCAATTATTCATATTGTGCACATCTCAAAATCATTACTGACACTTTAGAAATAATCTTAATAAACAATCTTCACAGAAGATAATCGTCAGCTTCTGCAAAAGTGAATTCGGAAAGTGAACCGTCTATTTGAAGTGAATGAAAAAGGTTCTGATCTCCTTCGGGTGAATGGTCACATTGAAGTCCTGGGTTACGCCACTGAAAAAATCTGTTTCCTCTGTAAATAGAGGGGAAAATTATAACAATGACAATTAGTACTGACATCTATTCAATCTGATTCAAGGGTGAAAACTCACCTTCTTTTCGTACTCTTTCATTGGTTTTCCAGCTCCACCTCTGGAGGTCTGATATATCCCATGTTCCAGTAAGTGAACGCTCCTGCACATCAGTTACCTCCCCTATGCCCCGCATAACTTCCTATAACCGAATTAATTTACTGTTAAAGGCACTGCTTGTGAAGTAAAACATTAATCCAACAATGCAAATGCCAAAAATGAATAGATTTCATGTACCTTCAGGTTAATAGTGATGGGTTGTGACAGGACTGGGTCTTCTCCTACTTCATACAGGTGTGTGATCCTCAAAAGAATCCGGTCAAAGTCTATCTTTCCCTCTCCACCTAGTAAAACAACATATACATTTTGAATATAGCTTCTGGTTTGAAGTAGAAAATTCAGATAACTGTTATGAGACATGCTGGCAGTTAAACTGTGTATTGTGTACTGTACTCTACTGTATATCACCTGCGCTGAGCTTGTGGAGGTGCTGGGTGTGATCAGGACTGTAGTTCCAGCCAGGGACGCTGAGGGTCTGCATGTGGAGGTTCTGGGGCAGAACCACCGGCTGAACAGACGGACCGCTACTTCTCGCTCTCGGACTCAGTGGCTTTTCTGTGCAAGGGGAGATTTTACACTCCTTTGTCTCTGTTTGTTTACCAAAATGTACGAAACACACACAAATTATATAGAAAATGGTTTGTGCTTTAGGTTAAGTTAAAGTTGAAAATGTTGCTCAACTGACAACTTTTTAAAAAATGTATGATTCTTTATATTTTTTTATGAAACATACAGGGTGGGGACAGAGAAAATAATAAAAAGAAATAATTCAGACAAAAGGGAGGTAATGATAAAAATCTAATTAAATATGAATTACCAAATAAAGGTAAAACACTAAAATGTACACCTATAGATTAAAAAAACAGTAGGTGCACTAAATACAATTCTATACATTTGACGCGCGCATGATGATGCTAAAATGTAATATTCAGCCATTTTGAAATATGCCTATATAGTTAACTTTTTAGTTTTAGTTATTTAAGTACATCGAGTAAAACTAAATGTAAACAAGAAATTTTGGCTTGGCAACTAGCTGAAATAATAATAGAATTTTTTTTTTTTTTTTTTTGTTAAAGTTGATTTTATTTCAAGTAAAGTGTTTATGATTTAGTTCACAATAATTGCAAGTTGTTCAAATGGAAAGATCTAAACTTGCATTTGCATGAAAAAAGTCAGAATTGTGAGTTTATATCACCTAATTCTGACTTTTTCTCTGAATTGTGAGATATAAACTTGGAGTTGTGAGTTACAAAGTCTGAATTGCAAGATATGAACTTGCAATTACGAGAAAAAGTAATAAATTAATGCTAGGCCTGATTATTTAAGTGACTATATTCTGATTATAAACTAAGTATTATGCTATTGAAGCTGCGAGTTTAGATCTTGCGAGTTAAAGAGTGTTTCGTGCATATGGTCAATTGTGAGGGAAAACGTCACAATTACCTTTTCTATTTTTTATTCCATAGTTTGTTAGTAGTTGAACATTAGTAATAGTGAGTATTTGAATGCATGTAATTTTGTGATTTCACTGGAATGGACAGTGTTTGGATGAAAGGAAAGTTGAGGGCACACTATAGAGCGGTGCAGGGATGACATATTTTTGTAGGCCAAGACCTGGAAATGAGTTGGCATTTTTGCTCTTCCGGTTCCATTGTCCTGAAGTCAATGGTTTTTTGGCTAAATCCCCTAAAGGTCTGTGTTGAACACAAGCTCAAGGTTTCACGTTTTATTCTACCATACCCTCTTGTGATTTTTTTTAACGCTTTTACTTGTGCTGTAAAAGGCGCAAGCTAATGCTAACAAGTGGCTAAATGGGACTACAGAGGTTGTTGGGGACATTAAACGTCTTGTTCTGTTTATAATTGTGCTCTTGCAAGAAATTGTTTTTTACAGATACAGGGGTGAGATTAAAAAAACTTGTCTAGAAATGCCTGCATGTGTGCAAACTCACGCGGTTGGTCAATAGGCATAACCACAGGTCTGTGCTGCAGCTCTAGTGCCTCCTGTTGGTAGATGGATGATATTGCAGCAGGGGATCCCAGCATCATCCAAAGAACAGGCCGCACCACAGAGGAGTCATTAAGAGTCAGGTTATAACCCAGATTCCACTCCTGGTTGTTCCAAAGCCGTCTATGAAGCATCACCTGATACACAGACATAGAATGCACAGAACACAAATGGTACTTTTATATAGTAAATTGCTGGGAAAGGCCTAAGAGACTGACACAACAGTGCCAAGTATATGTGTGAAGCCCTCACTTCTAGTTGACCCTGACTCAGACTGGCCACTCCATGAGCTCTTTCACTGAGGAACACAAGTCTGCTGGAATCATCTTCTACGTAAGCCGCTCGTACCATTGGGTAGTAGTTCTATGCACGTAAACACACAACAGATGTACGTGTAAAAAAGATGTAAGATGTGCATCAAAAAAAAAAAGTGCAGTATAATTTATGAATCTTAATTGTCAAGCATCCTTACACGGGAGACTGTGTTGTTGACGAAGCTCTTGAATGTCCTTTTCATCATCTGGTAGCCATTGTTGTCAGTAAACAGTGTTCTGTTATTCTGCAGACTCGTGTCGGTTCTGAACACAGTCTCTCGGTTCACCTCTAGGGGTCCCACTTTATAGCTCTGCTCCAGTCTGAAGCACGCCAGCCGACCCCGAAACCCTACCGGCACCCTGGTGACCACCGAGTAAGTGTGGTTCTTGTCTTCCTCCTCTCTGCAGAGAGAACAGTCACACTCTGAGAACTACTACTAGATTTTTAGGTTTCTGGAGAAAATGTGAGAGGTGTTTAAAGCAGCACTAAGTAGGAATTCCGTTTTTGTCAAACAGCGACCCCTAGAGTCGACCCCTAGAGTACTTGTACTGTCGTGAATAGCACTCACGCAGAGATGGCTCGCACTCACGGCCGGATCCCCTCCCCCTGTACACCGGTACCTGATCAGTAGGATGGACGCTGTAACGATTGGAAATAAGGTATGGCCCCTTTAAGAGCTGCGCGCGCCCTGTTTAACTGTCGGCAGTCTGTATTGTATGTGCGCCTCAAACACCACATGTATATGGCGCCGGGTTATTTCTGTTTGATGCCCATTTTATCAGATCTGTTTTTTGCCGTAAAGCAATTCGTTACCTCGCGAGACCTGATATCACATGATACTTCCTAACACTGAGGCGGCCCGCCGGCCCAAAGTTGCAAGGGTGGTTTTGCGGCTCACAGGCACCAGGGGGGTGCGAGACGATCACCATTCAACACGAAATCAGTAATATAAACATTACAATGACTCCAAAGCTGTTCGGTTAAGGTAAAAAAGTTACTTAGTTCAACTTTAAAGGGGTCATGTCATGAGAAATTACATTTGCCTTGATCTTTTGGCATATAAGAGTTATGAACATATGCACCATCGCACCATAAGCCCCACCCACTGGCGTCAGTCGCTTAACGCCGGACATTTGCCTTCAGTGGATGTGAGCGTCACGCCATGTCAAAAGCAAGTAGAACCCATTATAATCACTGACGCTGTCTACACCCAATACAGTTTACAGGTTCAGTTCAGTTTCTGACATACTCCACACACTTGAGTCTATCGACAACAGGACAAATGCACGAATGTTCACTTGTTTAAACAGATCCTTTGCGTCTCTGTAGAAATTTCAGAGGGATCCCAGTGCGGGGTACATTAGAATGTTATGATGCCTAAATTCGATTTGTAGCATTTAAAGGTGCTGTATGTATTTTTTAGCAGCCTCTATTGGTGATGTTTCAGATTGCAACCAATTTTTACAAGAGCGCTCAGACATGCTCTTGCGCGTGCTCGAACACAAGAGCGAGCACTCATGGTACCGGCCACACTGAGACTTTCAACACACCGGAGAAAGCATCACACAACATGCTGGTAACTCATGTAAACTCCCACTGCAACGTTACAATAATAAGCTACTTTTATCAGCTTGACGTTGAACTAATGCTCCATGCTCGTACCATGATAACGTTAGATTTGTGGTGTTATAGCATAAGGCATTTCACTAACTATTTGTGTATCTTTCACAATGTCAACATAGATGAATGTATAATATGATAACGAAAACGGTTAGTGAACTAGACTGAACAATTTCAGTGTAACAGTAAGATCGTAGGAAGTAACATTACTGTACTGAACGTGTCTGGAAATGTGTATTATAAACAATATGATAGTAGTGGGATGAGTGACGTTAGACAGTAGATCTAATACATAAAATAAAAGTTACATCCTAAAGCACCTACTTTTTGTTATCCTGGAACAGTCTTTTGTATTCATTTCATGTCTCATATATGTTGTAGTTTACCTTGCTATTTCATTACAGTTTACCATTATTTCAGCATATCTGAAAACTTGTAATTTATCACAATAAAAATAGCGGATGTCTCTCCATAATTCAAACGCTCTGCCGATGTTGATCCGTGTTTTCGTCCTAAGTCGATCCGATTCACGTTTGGCCTGACGAGCTTCAGCAGATACAGTTTTGTTTTGTTTTGTTTTGTTTTTTATATTTATGTGTTTGTGTTGGAGTGTGTGTTGTGCTGGAGGCAGGTCGTTTTTTGGTGTTATCAGACTCGTTAGCTGCAGTGCCGTTGCATAGACTGTATATAAAAAGGAGAGAGGCTCGGGAGCGCGCATGCACGTCACATCCGATGGATTTCGCAGAAAATCGGACCCGGAGACATCACATAGAAATAGCAATACTGGCCTTCAGAGTTAATAGCAAAACCCGACAAGTGGATCATTGTAATGTGTGATTACAACCCCTTCACACAGGCAATAAAAAAAGGATTCATTTTAGAAGAAAAGTTACATATAGCACCTTTAAAACAACTAATTGTAGTTTTTAGTGTTTTACTTATAATTTATTTAGACGAAATAGTATAGACTTTAAATATCGACCATTTCTCGGTTATCAGCCTCAACATGAAAATACTTATTAGCTAACTGTATCGACTAGAAATTGAATGTCACATCGCTACTTTAAATAAAGAAAAACATTGTTTTCTTGTATTTCAAGGAGAACAAAAGCCTTAAAACCAGACAGACATAATAGATTACGGATCTCAAAGAACATCTTTTCTTTCACCTGTAGAAATACTGACGTATCTCTGAAACTATCTTCCCCGGCACAATCTCCATGGCCACAGATTTGTATGCAGGAACAGCAGAGCCGTTGGCAGTAAAGATGTAGTTGTCTGAGATCGGCCCAGAGTGAATGTCCCCGTTGGCCTCATACTCCCAGAAGTCCTGCTGTACTCGAACTCTCATCTTTTTGCACCTGTAATGGATAGGCAAGGTCCGAAATTACATTTTTAAAACTGTGGTGATTTAGACACATGAAACACACTTGCCGGTCTGTGATGCTGTGCAGAAGGTTTGTCTCTTGGTCGAACATCAGTTTGTAACACTCATTCAGCACCGGTAACAACTTCCTTCCTGTCTTTTTCCACTGGCTCACATTCTTCTTCTTAAATTTCACTACTCTGGCCACATGAGTCGCCCCACACGCAGACCCAGCGTCACAGTGGGATTGTGGGAACTGCACAATGTACTTTCTGTACTGCAGTCCCCCCAGCTCAACAACGAAGAACAGATCGTAGTCAGTGGAGGACTCCATCGATTGCTGGATCTGCAGTGGATTATTGAGTTTGTTATCAGTTGAAACAACAGATGACTACATGTCATGATAGAAGCAATGATTGGGATAAAGAGAAAGAATATGAAATCTGAATATTAAAAAGAAACTCTAAACTCAAACTAAATTATCAGTGTATACATACTGAGAACGGAATATGCACAGATTATGTTTTGGTACCTGAGCCGGTGCTGCCTTTCCATAATCGTCAAGCACAACTGCCATTGCATATGGCACAGAAATATTAATATATGTTGAAATGTTCCAAGCTAGAGGGTTGTACACGATGATATGCTGTTCGAGAACATTTTCTGAGTCTGAAACCACAAAAAAAAAAAAAAACTCTATTAAACCCATGATCAACCAAACTATTCACATTTTAATATTGATGACTATTAATATTGATACTAGTGCTGGCAAATAGACTACGATAATATAATTCAAATGCACAAAATTTTCGAGTCTGTCTTATCAATTGATTGTGAACAGGTATCAAATGACAGAAATCATGAACCAAGAGAAGAGGCAAAAAGCTACAGTCACATATTGTGTATCTACTGTATCAGTAAAGATGAATATTAGGACAAGATTATACAGACAACAAAACTTACTGTATAAACAGATGAAACAAAAGATAACTATATTATAGTGAGTACAGTTCTTTATAGTGTTTACTCATTTCTTGTGGTTATATTATATTTAATTAATTTATATATTAATTATTTACATTTAATGAAATATAGATTATATTGAATTACATTTATATTTATTAAAATATAAATCCAATACAATTAACAGGCAAAGATAAAGATGTCTTTGGACAGAGAATATCCATGTGCAGAAAATAAAAGATTCAAATCTAAATACAGAAATATACCAGTCTTCTCTGTGGTGGGTCTGGTTTGGGGTGGGTGATGGATGTCATTGGAAAGTTTGATGGTCTGTGGAAGCAAGAAAATGGCTGCCAAGAGTTCCTCAGCTCCCATCATGCCTTGCATGAGATGCTCCATATACATATCAGCCACTTTGGGGGATTCTGTCCCTGTGATGCCATCATGATGCTGAACCTGGCATGTCAGACCAGATAATGGCTAGTCAAATCATGTCTTGTCATATGCAAACCATTAATATCTTAGAGGGATAATGTTTGATTTGGGCCTACTTGATGAGAGAAAGGAATTTAGCACTAGGTAAATCTTAAAGGTGTAGCAAGCAATTTCTGAGAAGCGCTGTTAAAAGTGGATCGGACCGAGCAGCACAACACACTTATAGCCAATTGGCAGTAGGGGGCGTGTCCACTCATGATGGGGGAGGAGAGAGTGAGCCAATCAGCAGTAGGGGGCGTGTCCACTCATGATGGGGGAGGAGAGAGAGTGAGCCAATCAGCAGTAGGGGCCGTGTCCACTCATGATGGGGGAGGAGAGAGAGTGAGCCAATCAGCAGTAGGGGGCGTGTCCACTCATGATGGGGGAGGAGAGAGTGAGCCAATCAGCAGTAGGGGGCGTGTCCACTCATGATGGGGGAGGAGAGAGAGTGAGCCAATCAGCAGTTGGGGCCGTGTGCACTCATGATGGGGGAGGAGAGAGAGTGAGCCAATCAGCAGTAGGGGGCGTGTCCACTCATGATGGGGGAGGAGAGAGTGAGCCAATCAGCAGTAGGGGGCGTGTCCACTCATGATGGGGAAGGAGAGAGAGTGAGCCAATCAGGATTAGGGGGCGTGTCCACTCATGATGGGGAAGGAGAGAGAGTGAGCCAATCAGCATTAGGGGGCGTATCCACTCATGATGGGGAAGGAGAGAGAGTGAGCCAATCAGCAGTAGGGGGCGTGTCCACTCATGATGGGGAAGGAGAGAGAGTGAGCCAATCAGCATTAGGGGGCGTGTTCACTCATGATGGGGAGGAGAGAGAGTGAGCCAATCAGCAGTAGGGGGCGTGCCCACTCATGATGGGGGAGGAGAGAGTGAGCCAATCAGCAGTAGGGGGCGTGTCCAGTCATGATGGAGAAGGAGAGAGAGTGAGCCAATCAGCAGTAGGGGGCGTGTCCACTCATGATGGGGGAGGAGAGAGTGAGCCAATCAGCAGTAGGGGGCGTGTCCACTCATGATGGGGAAGGAGAGAGAGTGAGCCAATCAGCATTAAGGGGCGTGTCCACTCATGATCGGGGAGGAGAGAGAGACTGTTTTTGTTTTTGTCCTTGCCGTTCATTCATCAACTTTACTTTATTTTTCGCCAAGCATTATTTTGCTTCGCTTCAGCCACACTAAACCCTAATGCTCAAAATAATCAATTGGTTTGAGTAGGGTAAACTTAAATTAAAGGTGGGATCAGTAGTTTGTGAAAAACACTTGTTGGCGAATGTTGATATTTGAAATCACCACAACAAACTTTTTTGAGTTTTGCCAACTTATTCGGGTATACGGTGTGTGATAAAGAGACATTCACACTTGCATTGAGTGTTCAGGAATTTCAGAGCAATGAAGGGAGGGGTGTGTTTGTTTGGGCTGATTTCAAATATCAACGGTGTTCCTCAGAAATCGCTTACGCCCTCTTCAATGAAATACATTTATTATAAAAAGTCATTTCAACTTATTAAAAGTAATTTGCGAATGCCACTCTACCTAAAGTTGCCCACATGGAAATGATTGTGGCACAACAAGATAAGTTTAAAACCTGGCACCTCAGAGACAGCCCATCGCAGGGCCTTGAGTTTGTCTAGCGCCCACTCTCTCTGAACCGGGCCTTCTGGGTATCTGATGCGGTATCTAGTGAAGAGAGACTCTGCTGCATACAGGAGGGCACTCGCTCGTCTGGCTACTCCTTTCAGAATATTTCTGGAACCATAGAACCCAGTCCAGGCCTGAAACGGTTCTAGGAAACCAGGATAAAAGACCATTCAGGACCATTTTATCATTCAGAAATGCAGTAATCACAATTATAGAAGTAGCTGTTGAGAAAACCTGTTGAGTAAGGGAGGAAGTCTTGGTTTTCCCTCACATCCCAGGAAAGATTTGTTTGGTGCACCGTCTGAAAATAGTCCTTTAGCGTGGCGTACTGAACTGCAACTCCATACTTGTCACTGTGTGCGTTAATGTAGTTCATTAAAAAATCCATGTTCATGAATTGCACTGATGCATTGTAGAACTGCTTGTCACAACCCTGTAAATACAACATATACTTTTAAATGGTAATCCTAATGAATATATAAAAGAAACAATGTGCAAGTTAGCCTGCAAGGATGATGGAGCTGAACTGACCCAAGGCCAGAGAACATGGCTGGTTCTGAACCACTGGGCCCTCATTCTGATGTTGTCCACCATGGTCTGTGCATACAGCTCTACAGTTTCCTTGGTCACTGGCAGACTCATGTTAGGGTATATGCCATCCTTAGGAGGGTTCGGAAACAAGGCAACACCATTCCAGTAAAACCCAGACCTGGAATCAACCATCATCCATTTTTAAAGCTTCCTCAAAAATATTTTGAAATGCTTTTTGTTTAACACATACACTTTTATATACTGTCATGCAAAATTTGGGTAAGGTTTTTTAATGTTTTTGAAAGAAGGCTCACCAAGGCTGTAAAAAACAACAAAAAAACCCAGTAATATTGTGAAAAATTATTACAATTTAAAATAACAGTTTTCTATTTGAGTTTAAAAATGTAATTTATTCCTGTGATGGTAAAGCTGAATTTTCAGCATCATTACTCCAGTCTTCAGTGTCACATGATCCTTCAGAAATCATTCTAATATGCTGATTTGCTGCTCAATAAATATTTTTTTATAATTATCAATGTTGAAAACAGTTGTGATGCTTAATATTTTTGTGGAAACCGTGACATATTTCTTTCAGGATTATTTAATGAATAGTACGTTTTAAAAGAACAGCATTTATTTTAAAATATAAATCTTTTGTAACATTATAAATGTCTTTATGGTCACTATTTAATGCATCCTTGTTACATAACTTTTAAAAAATGTTACTCACCCCAAACGGGGTGTTACAAAATAAAAATAAAAATTGTTACTGGACGTTACCTGTTAGAGAAGGGGAGGTATGACGGTGTGCAGTAGCTGAACTGGTCCATGGTGTGTGTGAATATCTCTTGTTTTTCCTTTAAGGAGGGAGAGCCTCTCCACACAAACTGCAAATTCTACAAATACAGTTGCATTATTATCACATGTACCAATGTATCAAAATTTAAGAGGCACTCTGAAAACTAAATATGCAGCGCTGCACTCATATACACTGATGAGCCAAAACATTATGAGCAGTCACAGGTGAAGCGCATATTGTTGATCATCTCTTAACAAGGCCGTCTGGGTATATTAAATGGGAAACAAACAATCAGCTCTCATAATCAACGTGTTGGATGCAGGAGAAATGGGCAGGAATAAAGATCTGAGCGACTTTGACAAGGGCCAAATTGGCAAATACGGCAAGAGTATCTCTGAAACGGCAAGGCTTGTGACGGCACTGTGGGACGACGACAAGCCCGTGGAGGGAGTGTGATGCTCTGGTCAATGTTCTGTTGGGAAACTCTGGGTCCGGTCATTCATGTGGACTTAAATTAGACATGTGCCGCCTACCTAAACATTGTTGCAGATCAGAAACATCCCCTCATGACACTGGCGTTCCCTGGTGGAAGTGGCTCTTTCAGCAGGATAAAGCACCTGCCACACGGCACACATTGTTCAGGAATGGTTTGAGGAACATGATGAGGAGTTCAAGGTGTTGCTCGGCCTCCAAACTCCCCAGATCTCAATCCGACTGAGCATCTGTGAGATGTGCTGGACCAACAAGTTTGATCCACGGCGGCTTCACCTCGCAACCCACAGGACTTGAAGGATCTGCTGCTAATGTCTTGGTGTAAGACACCACAGGACACCTTCAGGGGTTTCGTAGAGTCCACGCCTCGGCGGGTCAGCGCTGTTTTGGCAGCAAGCGGAGGACCATCAGCATGTTAAGAAGGTGGTCATTATGTTTTGGCTCATTGGTGTATAAAACAATAAATAAAGTACAAACCACTGACACAAAAGTACAACCTTTTTTTTCTGCATGTCATCTTTAAGGTCGTAGTCGATGCGAGAGATGAGGTGAGCGTCAAACCCCGCGAGGGCAAAGAGGACGGGGGTGGTGGCCGACGCACCAAACGGATCAACATGCCACGCAAAACGTGGCCGAACGCCAAAAGTCTCATACAAGAAACCATGTCCCTCTACAAGCCAGACAGAGATGAGGTAAGAAGAGCTATAACTATATGCAACACATTTAGCAACACTAATACCATAGTACTGTGTAAATGCCATGATGTTACATTAATATGGTAATCATTAGGGGTGTAAAAATATATTGTCACAATATATCGCAATACAAAAATGCAACAATATGTATCATGGAAAGTGACAATATGTATTGTGTATAGTTCACCCAAAATAAAAATTACTGTGTGAGAAAAAATTCAAGTTTTCAGAGTTTTAGTGTCAGTACGAAATTAAACTACTATATATAATGTTGAATATAATGTATAATAATGCAATGGGGGAATATTTGTGGGTCCTGATAATGCCAAATGTCTTATGTTACCAGTAAAAAGTGGGCAACATTATTTTAAATATATCTAGTCAGTGAAAGAGTGCACGCATATTCGTCTTAAATAATTCTGTATTTACAGCTTCAGAATCATGAATAAAGTAAATTTTACCACAGTACATTTTTTCATATGTCTTGGAGTATTGCAAAAATATCATATCATGAGTTTAGTACCGTGATTTGTATCGAATCGTGACATGAGGGTATCGTTACACCCCTAGTAATCATTTAATAATAAGGCCATCTGTCAGCATCACTTTACCATGGCAAAATCACATGCTCTACAGTTTCATTTGCAAGTGTTGGGTTCACAGTCACACACCTGTGAGTTGAAGAATGGCATCATCTATATCTGTCACTGCTTCATCATGCATCACCTGACCACCGATTATGAACTCCAGACGGCCCTCGTGCAACAGCTGTCTCACCTGACAGGTAAAAACAAGTCACCTTAAACCAGGGGTTTTCAATCTTTTAGATGTGTTGTCAAAATGATACGCATTCACACGGATCTGTGAAAACGACTAAAAACGTTGCGCCTATAGACTGCTGAACACATAATACGCATGTGCATGACATCACCGTTTTCGTAGTTTACACAAAGAAAATAACTGTATCGTTTTCAAAAACGTGCACTTTAAACCCAATTTTTTAAAGGTTTGCATTTTCAGGTCCCCAAAACGCAGTTGTGGTGTATATGAATGGCCGCAACACATGAAAAGTTTTCTGTTTTTAGTTGAAAACAGGGTCTTGTAAATGGCCCTCTGAATTATTTAAATTATTTTTGATTTATTTTAATCAATTCATTTATTTTAATTTTATTTCTACTATTTACATATTCTTACTTTTTTTTTTCTTCAAAATTTGTCTCTTTTCCACGGACCCCCCTATTGCTCCCTTGTGGCCCCCTGGGGGTCCCTGGACACAAGTTTGAAAAATTTTTCCTTGAGTTTTAAGGTAAACTGATTTACCCACATTATGTAATAATTTTAACTGTCACCGTCCCGCTACCGGGACGCCTAACTTTACTTCACTATATTTCTATTAAATCCTAATCTAATTATGACAAATTATATATCGTTGGAAAGGTCAAAGACTTCTAAATAGATATTCTACCCCTGTTTTGTGTTACAAATTATGTAGGAAGAGTAATTGATGAATTTATGACAAGAGTGCACCTCAAAAAATCTGCATCATAACAGGAGGTCTGACCTTTGTCACAAAAAGTCGATGCACCCACTTTTAATCATTGAAACTTCTGTTTTCATGCTAAAAGTTCATAATAAAACATATAATCTAGTATTTTTCAATAAAAAATTATAATATAATATTATCCTCTAAAAATTATAATATTTATATATTATCCTCTAAAATATAATATTATCTTTTTTATCGACTTTTTTATTATATCACATATTTTAGTAGTTATCATAAATTAGGTATTATTTGAAAGCTTATAAACTCAGAATTCATCCTGTGAAAATCGTTTTATAATTGAACGTTGCGTTACCATAGAAACGGTATTCTAAATTATTTTATGAGGCTCCTCCCCTTTTAGGCATCATTATATTTCATAATTTATGATCAAAACCTTTTCTAATCTTGACAAAACACATATTGTCAGAAAGGTCTGTGTCTCAAGGTTCCAAATTTTGTGACAGAATTGATATTTGGACAGAAATGTATTAATTTGTTAAGGCAGAATGTATACAACTAAATTCAATGGAATTCAATGGCACCCGGTGGCTATTTCTGGTACTACGCCTAAACAAAATCTCATGGGAACTTCAATTTTTGTGATATCAACTTCAAATTTGGAACATAACTTGGTTAGATTTATGGCTTTGATTTTATAGTAATTTTAGACTAAAAAATATTTTGTAAAATATATATTATATAAAATAAAAAATATATAGTACAGTATATTTGATTTACTGTAAATTTAAACTTCCATAACTTTTTCATACTTTAATTTTTTGAAGTGTTCTCACTTCAGCAATAATCTGCTGAGTGTTTTCTTTAAAACAAGACCAAACTTGGGTATATATTCCAAAGCATTCTTGAATTACAACCATTTAAGTTTGAATAGTGCATTTTAACCCCCATTCTCAAAAAGGGGGGTGACAGCTGGGGTTAATAATAAAAAAACTAAAACACCCAATAAAACATCAATCAGTCCTTACCTGTTTCTTGTGCCAATCTGATGCCTCATTCACCCACCAGAGTCGGAAAAACTCCTGTTCAACTGCAATGAATTTGCGGCTTTCGACTCTCGACAGCTCTTCCACTACACTGCTGTACACATTGCTGCCATACGCATGCATGCTCTCCTACGACAGAAAAGTTTGACAACACTGACAGCTCCATTTACGGAAACACACAAGTCATTTAAAATCGAAATCTGCGTTTTACCTGGACGGTGTACACCCAGCCAACATCCATGTGACTGTGAGGAACGACGAAAGCTTGAATCTTCTCAACCGCATCGTTTTCAGAGACTGTCATGAGCAGTAAACCGAGAAATAAAGATAAAAACATCATCATCGCCGCAACAGGATTATCGGAACATCATAACCTGTGTTTTCAGAGAGTCTCATGACCATAGCTCATGACTGCCTGTGAGCTCGTGCGCATGCGCACTTTTACTTCCCATTTCATTCGCTGTGCTCGGATTGGAGCTTCACCATTTCCACAATAATGTAATTCATTTGTTTATTTGTTTATTTATTTATTTGTAGTTATGTAAATGTACATTTATTTAGTTATTGCTCGTTTGTTTGTAAAAAAAAAAAACAACAACAAAAAAACATCCAACCTCAAAGCATTATTGATTTTCCTATTTATAAAGTATTCCATACAAACCCAAAATACTTTAGTGAACGAATAACGCTACAAAATTGATACAAGTCAATATGTGTAATTATCTGAATAAACTGCCGTCTCCTGGCCACTAGGAGACGCTCATATACGCTCGGCTGTGTTTATCGTCACTGTTGCTCCGGGTCCTGCTTTACATGCTAAAGATGGCCGATGTTGACAATGATGGGGAGAAAACAACAGACAAAGATGATTTGCAAGTGTTAAAGGTTTGAACTGACCATTTCATTTCCTTCTCTCTTTTAATGAGCTCAAATAAATGGGCATCACCGCCTTCAGATGATGATGTCGGTGATGTATTTAAATGTACACATGGCTGCTGCACCGCATGTCACTATAACAACTGATACACTGCAGTGCAACAACAGTGAACGAGCAGCATCTGGATCTTTTTGATTAAACTGTGTAACGTTAGTGTATAGACGGTCGTGTTATCCATCATGTCGTGTAATGCTTGTTTTACCCATTATTCACCTCTCTCTGCAAAAAAAACACTTTGTTGTAGTAATACTGTAAAACCATAATAAACTCATTTGAGCTCCTTTTTAATCAATGTACGAATTTTCTTTTTTTATTATAATCACCTTTTTTTTACAACAAATACTATTATGCCAAAGTTCTGCAGTTAATATATATTTGATAGAAGCTGTAGTAATGTTTGTAACGGAAAGCATCAATTAAGTAGAATCTCTTTAAAAAAAATTCTCACTCTCAAATTGCTTTCATTTAATTGAAAATGGATTGCAAGGGAGCGGTGACAGGCTGTTATTCTGTCAAATATCTGCTTTTGTCTTTCACAGAGAGACTAAATGATGACAGGATTTATTTTTGGCTGAACTATTCCTTTAATGCGTGAAATGTCTTTGAGTTCTTGATGAATTTCAACTGTGCAGTTGTTTAATAATAGCATTTTCTCTGTCTCACAGGAGCTGGTGGATGATCTGTACTCCTTTAGGGACCGTTACTTTGAGACACACAGTGTTGAAGATGCTGGTAGGAAACAGAATGATGTTGCTCATGAGATGGCAAAGACACTTGAGAGGCTGGAAGAAAAGGAAGGTGGGCATTACTTCTTTGTTTTCTAAAAATTTTCTTGTAAAGAAGTCTTAATGTTTATTAAAATATATTCTGACAGTTCACCCAAAAATGAAAATTCTGTCATTAATTACTCACCCTCATGTTGTTACAAACCTGTAAGACTTTCGTTCATCTTCAGAACACAAATGAAGATCTTTTTGATGAAATCTGAGAGCTTTCTGTCCCTCCATTGACAGCTACACAACTACCACTTTTGACGCTTCAAAAAGTTCATAAAGAGATTGTAAAACGAATCCATATGAATTGAGCGGTTTAGTCCAAATTTTCTGAAGAGACTCGATCGCTTTATATGATGAACAGATTGAATTTAGGGTTTATTTGCATATAAACTTTCATCAACTCACACATCAGAAGCTCAAGCATGTTCGTTTGACATGTGAGAACCAATGAGGTTCATTCTCGTGTTACGCAGCAAGTTTGAGCTTCAACAAGAGGTTTGTTCTTGTTCTTGCAGGTTCGGTTGAGCTTCTGTTTATCTTTGCTGAGTGTTTATGTGAATAAAAGCCTAAATTAAATCTGTTCATCGCATAAAGCGATCGAGTCTCTTCAGAAAATTTTGACTAAACCGCTCAATTCATATGGATTAGTTTTACGATCTCTTTATAAACTTGTTGAAGCGTCAAAGTGGTAGTTGCGTTAGCTGTCAATGTCAAATGTCTCTCAGATTTCATCAAAAAGATCTTCATTTGTGTTCCAAAGATGAATGAAAGTCTTACAGATTTGTAACAACATGAGAGTGAATAATTAACGACAGAATTTTCATTTTTGGGTGAACTAACACTTTAATAAAAATAAAAGAAATGCTAAAAATATAGCAAAATCCCTCATTATTGACTATCTATTGTCTCTTGGGTAAGTATAATGTATTATATATGTATTATAATATTTGTATTATTAGTATATATTTATTAATATGCCCTGCCCTCTCTTTCAACAGATTTGTACAAACACAGTGCCCAGTTCCTGCTGCTACGGGGTCGGTGCCTGAACGCCGGTCCGGGATTCAGTCAGTCTGCAGAGGAGTGTCTGTCCCGGGCTGTTAAACTGGAGCCGGGTTTGGTTGAGGGCTGGAACACACTGGGAGAGCAGTACTGGAAAAAAGGAGACCTGACGGCGGCCAAGACCTGCTTCACAGGTGCACTACAGCAGGTGAGTCTTATCATAGCAAAAAACAATGGGTCTCTTTCATATAAGCCCTATTCGGAAGGGATTAGTTTCCCTGGAGGACGTTAGAGAAATTTGTTTTTCGCAGGCGTACTTTGTGATTTTAATCCTGTCCGAATCTGCCAAGTCTGTGTTTTTCAGTAAATTTCCAGGGAGAATCACAGACTGTTTTTCAGCAAACTCAACAGCAAACTCAAACTCAATGTGAATGTCTGTGATTACTTATGTCATATTATACTGACGCTTCTCCTCATATGTTTTTTGACCTACCTGAGCTACCGTTTGCACAACAATCTTTCGCATGCTTTCATTTAATTTCAAGATGGATGGTATCCACTATCCAGCGAAAAAATGATACAAAATGAATAAATAGAGCCAAATTGTGGAAATTGCTAAGATTGCCTATTTTAAAGGGGTCATATAATGCCATTTTTGTACAAGCTAATATGTTTCTTTAGGGTCTAAATTAAAAGTTTGTAATATACTTTAATTACAAATTCTCATTAGTATTGTAAGAAAACACTTACTTTACCTGGTCAAAAACAGCTCTGTTTTCAGCACGCCGTTTCAGTGCATATGACTTTAAATGATCATGAGCTTTGCTCACCCCGCCTCTCTGTTCTGTGCGTACACCGTTTGCAACACAATAACACAATAACCATAACGCGTTGTTCAGTATAAACGTGGGATTATGAATTATATTGAGAACATCATACATAGAAAACATGCCGTAATGTACCCTGAGTGTAAACCTTAGACGCATTCATTGTGAAGCGTGCAGCTAGCGATTTGCAAAGATTAATATAAATATTAATATGAAGTTTAATAAAACGTTACACTCACTTCAGTTGTTCCAGAGGTTCAGGAGGAACACGAATAGCTGGTACCGATCCTTTTTTCATGAGCAGCTTCTTAGCAAATCCAGCTTTATACTGATCCTCGTTTATAAAGCAGTCTGGTGTGAAATGATTCGCGCAAACATGAAAGCATTGACGTTGCTCGTGGGGAATATTCCCTTCGAAAACAAACTCAGCCACTGCGTCTTCAGCGGTTCGGATTTAGCAACATTAACCCTCTGGGGACCAAGGGTTTTTTGGGGCCCTTGGGATGTTTTGACATGCTCTGACATTTGTGCTTTTTTCAGTTATTTATAAACATGTTAATGGCAAAGGTGTAAATTCACTCTAAATAGCACAAACGGGGCTACCATAATCTGTGAACAACATGTATGTACATGTTTGTATTTTTGAGAGAATATTATTTATGCATGGTTATTGAAAAACTTAAAAATAAAAGTTTCTGAAATAAGGCCACAAAACACATATTGATTATTTCTTCACAAGACTTTTGAAAATTGTATCACATAGTCTAGAATATTTGGTCCAAAACTATGTGAGAATCATCCTGACTACTCATTCAGATAAGTCAATAAAGTATTTTATAATGTGTATGACGTGTTTTGTTTGAGAAAGCTTTATGCAAGGAGGCGTGATCTCTCATTAATATGGCATTTCACACCTGAGAAAGACAAAGACCCTCCCATAATGGCCCTATTAGGTGCTATCAGGCCATATCATTAGAGGAGCCTTGCACAAAGAATGAGGAGATTTAAAAAAGAATGGCTTTTAGATTGTTTGGATTTATTTACAACACAACATAATCCAAAGATACACAACAAAGGACAAAAAAGCACATTAGTAAACACACTGATCTAAATACAGAGGCTTACACAGTCACACAGCATTGTCCCATTCCTGAAACATAGTACATACCTGTCATTTCCAAGGTGTTTGATTTTTCATTACAGTCTCCTGTGAATGTTGAAGTCAGCAGGACTGATATCAAGAGAAACTATATGGCTGCACGACTTTGGGCATGCATTGTAGATTTTTCTGGTTAAAATAGCTTTTTAATTATAGGCTATATATATATATATATATATATATATATATATATATTAGTGCTGGGCAAGTTAACGCGTTATTATCGCGTTAACGCATTTATTAATTAATGCCGACAATTTTTTTATCGCGCGTTAACGCAGAGTTTTTTTTTTTATTATTTTGAAAGTCCGTTGCTCACTGCCTCTGAATACACATAGGCCTACAGTCAAACCATGATCACAGGAGGGGTGGGATGTTGGTCAGCCAGCAAATAACCCACCCAAACAAGCAGTGGAGAGGCTTTGGCAGGTTCTCTCAGGTGAACAGAAAGGGAGACAGCGCTCCGCGAGTGAATGACAGGCGCTCTATGGATAGTAACCATGGCAACGGCTTCTGTGCGCTACGCAGCTGTAGCCTTTTTAACTTAAATTAAAATTATACATAACTTTACCTGATAGGCCTGCGTATAGTTTAGCGGGGATGCTCTGCCATGTGAATTCCCTCCTGTTGATGTCCTGACTCCTGATAACTATTTAGATTCTGGAAACTCACAAACAGCGAGCCGAGGATCAGTCTCTCTTCCAATGATTTGTGCTACGCGTCGTGTACAAAAAAGTTAGACAATTCAACTTCGGCAACGCGCGGGCGCGTGCGTGAGGCGAGCATGACTGCAACAGTTTCACAGGAACGCACCCGCTTGTCGCTGCACCTGTGCTCGACCACTTCACCTCACTCTAGGCTGATTTATACTTCTGCGTCGGACTTACGCCGGAGCCTCTACGCTATAGACAACGCGTTGGTTTTCATTTATATATCTGCGTCGTTGTCCGCGTTGACGCGCAATTACACATGCAGAGGGAGAGTGTGAAACCCGGGGAGCGGTTCTAGCAATCACAGCGCTTGCGGTAACTTACGCGTAGAATTGACGTTACATTTTTGGAGAGATGCACGTCAGGGTACGCGCGCTACACAGCTACGGCGTGAGTTCGACGCAGAAGTATAAATTGGGCTTTACCTCTGTTTAATGTAATCTTACGTGGGAAACCATGGCATGCCATGACCAAACCTAAGCTGCTATCAGAGAAGTAACGTTGGTCGACTCGACTTATATTTGTAGTAGTGATCATGACCCTTTGACTACATAGACTCTTTCTGCTGCTCCCTGATACAAGATACCTGTTCAGAAAAAAAAAAACAAGAAAACTGGACTCGTTTTAACAAGCTAGATAAAAGGTAATGCCCTGGCAGTGGCAAATAGCTTTGTTTAAATATTTGATTTGATTACATTAATGTTTAAGTTGAGATTTACAAGAAATATTTTATTGATACTGTGTAAAGGGAATACTGCTGGTATAAAAGCACCTTATTTGTTTAAAGTTTTTGCAAACCACATGTTATTGCACTTTTGTAGCAGTACATTTAAATCAAAAGTGCGCAATACACTACTAGAATTCATTATTCAATTTTGCGCGTAACAATGCGATTAATCGCAAGAAAATCATGCGATTAATCGCGATTACATTTTTTAATCGTTGCCCAGCACTAATATATATATATATTAGTATATATATATATATATATGTATATATATATATATATACACACACACACACTGCTTAGAATTAGAAGAGAACACACCCATGCTAAAGTTGACTAAAAAGAGGAATAAAAAAATCTTAATGCCTTAATTAAAAAATTAGGAAAACTAACCTTTAGGGACGTGAATAATGTCCCTGAATTCTTTGTGAATGAATAATGTATCGCAAATAATTAAATGTTCTTCTTTAAAATACAGGGTGCATACGTCTGGAAACTTCTATCCCCAGAAACTCCTAACAAAAGCTGATGTCTTTATTTTGAAGCTTATTTGAAGCTTATTTGATTTGAAAAACTTTATCCAAAACTAGTCAACGAAATTTTGTCTTTTATTTCGTCTGTAACAGTGCGTATCTGTGTGTTCATTCATTCATTTACACACACACACACAGAGAGAAAAATGATTCACAGTATGCTGTTTTTCCGTTTACAGACACTAACGTTATTCTATATCGCGATTAGAACAAAGCACAGCCATAAAACACTTACAGTTCTCAGCTGAATCTGTTGCTCCTCCTCGAAGTGAAAATAAACCAGCACTTCTGTATTAAATGTCCCAGGATTATTCTTCATAGCCGCGCAAGACGAATCTTAATCTGACTAAAAAATATAGTGCGTTTACAGCATTTGCCTGGGGGCGTTTATCTATTTTGCAAATGGCCTCAACACATTATCTTATGAATAGCGCGCTCTGCGAGTGGGTGTGAACAAATTAACGATAATGAGCTGAGACAGGAGAAACTGTACTTCTCTTTAGTTTCAGACAGATTACATTGCAGGAGAATATTTGTTTTAAATGTGAATTGTTTTATTTAAAAGTAGAAATTTAAAGCGTTCTTTAGACGTATGTTTCATGTTTGTGTGATAAGTATTAGCGGAGTTTCCGTTAATTTTCCAGACAAGTTTCAGAAAGATTTTTGCGGAGACAGAGTGAGCTGAAAGCGCACCCTGTTTATTTTATTTATTTAAAAAAAAACACAAGGTTTTGATGTTAACGTGAGTGTACACAAAAAAAGAAGACCCTCTATAGTTTATAATCATGTATTGATTTTATTTATATTACCATAAATGACGGAGTATTTTAAGTCTATGTTGCTGCTATGTGAAAAAAAAACAGCAAAACGCGCGGGCGCGTTCTTGGTCCCCAGAGGGTTAAAATGACTGCTGTGTTCGTTATTACACCCAAGAACAGAACACCACAATCGCTTAGACACCATTCTGCTCAGACAGCTCCAGCATATCAACAATGAGCGCGCCGCACAGACTATGATTGACAGTTCCCTCACGAGCGAGGGCGGGTCTGTGTTGAAACGCTGCTGTCAATCAACAATCGTGGGAGAGGCTTCCGACCATGTGACGTCACACGGTCGAACGGTTCGATTTGAGGCAGGGGAAAACATATAAGGAGATTAAAACAAAAACACTGGATGGATTTTAATAATTTTATGATGGTTGTGTACAGGCACTGCCAACACACATTTCAGTACAATCAACTTGTAAAAGTGCATGTACCATTATATGACCCCTTTAATATCTGTCAGGTATGAGTAAGTTTAGACTAGATTTTTCTGCTCACTTATGCAAGTTTATTATAAACAGCCACTTCTATAAACTCATGTGAAAATAGGGTTTTTATAATAAATTAGAATTATAGCATTAATAGACATTTAATTAATTATTTAATGTGATGTGTATGAATGTTTTCGCCAACAAATCATGATTCACTAAAAACGTTTATACTAAAATTTATTCTACATTTAAAAATGTAGGAACAACTGAAACCACATGTATGCATAAATCACATACACTGGATGGCTTTATAATTGCGTTAAGATGACATTTATTTCATACAGAAATATTTCTTCTTAAATATAAAAAATATCATATATACAGTGAAAGAGGAAGAATACTTGCATTATAGCTTGAGCTGCCGCCATTTGTACTTCTTAACGGCTAATGAATCACAAGTCTTGCACATTCACATAAAATAGCTTACTTCTGCGTTGCAAAATAAAGTGGATATAACAGCGTGGATCTGGATATGTACATACAGCTGGCTGATGAAACTACAAAAGATGTTTATTGTGTTTAAACTGGTTTTGAGGATGGCACACTTGGCCTTGCTCTCAGGCATCTTTAAAGGGGCGTATTTGTTTTGTTTGCCGAGAGTGACGAAAGGTTGTTTGGAAGACCTGATATGGAGATGGTTTAGTCGTATTTTATGCAAATGACTAACCTCAGGTATGAGGTTTCTCATTTAGAATACTCCAATTCATTATTATTATTATTTAAATTCATGTGGCCTTGTGTAATCTTTAATCAAAATAACTTCCCCTCCCTCTTGCATCTCTGATGACATGTTTACTGACTCAAATGACTCGCATGAGATCGACCAATAGCAAACCACAACCATCCAATCAATTCCCTATAGACAAAATCAAGTCCCTTCCTAAATTATCAGTCATATCTTAAAATATGTCAAGTCTCAAAATGCACACCAGTGATGTTTTTTTAGGCATGTTTATAAAAGCTACTTAAATGTCCTAATCGAACTAAGACCTAATCCTGGCTTAATCTAAGCCCTGTCTGTGAAACCAGGCCGATGTCTTTTATGATGTCTGCCTCTTTTGATATAGTGCTGTCATGAATCGCACAGATTAACGCTAGGTTTCTTCATCCAGAGTAAAAACAAAGTGTCTCTGAGAAGCCTGTCTATGGTGCTGCGACAGCTGCCACCAGAAGGCGACGCACAGGAGCAGAGCAAGCGCATTGTGGAGAGCGTGGAGCTGGCCAGGCAGGCTGTGCAACTCGACGTCACCGATGGGACTTCGTGGTGTGAGTGAATTACTCTGATAATGTAGAACAGGACACATTAGGCACCTTCCTTTAGAACCGTAGATGCCATGCGTGGTAGACTTCACATAAATGTATTATATATATATACACTCACCTAAAGGATTATTAGGAACACCATACTAATACTGTGTTTGACCCCCTTTCGCCTTCAGAACTGCCTTAATTCTGCGTGGCATTGATTCAACAAGGTGCTGAAAGCATTCTTTAGAAATTTTGGCCCATATTGATAGGATAGCATCTTGCAGTTGATAGAGATTTGTGGGATGCACATCCAGGGCACGAAGCTCCCGTTCACCCACATCCCAAAGATGCTCTATTGGTGAGATCTGGTGACTGTGGGGGCCATTTTAGTACAGTGAACTCATTGTCATGTTCAAGAAACCAATTTGAAATGATTCGTGGATTATGGTACATTATCCTGCTGGAAGTAGCCAACAGAGGATGGGTACATGGTGGCCATAAAGGGATGGACATGGTCAGAAACAATGCTCAGGTAGGTCGTGGCATTTAAACGATGCCCAATTGGCACTAAGGGGCCTAAAGTGTGCCAAGAAAACATCCCTCACACCATTACACCACCACCACCAGCCTGCACAGTGGTAACAAGGCATGATGGATCCATGTTCTCATTCTGTTTACGCCAAATTCTGACTCTACCATCTGAATGTCTCAACAGAAATCGAGACTCATCAGACCAGGCAACATTTTTCCAGTCTTCAACTGTCCAATTTTGGTGAGCTCTTGCAAATTGTAGCCTCTTTTTCCTATTTGTAGTGGAGATGAGTGGTACCCGGTGGGGTCTTCTGCTGTTGTAGCCCATCCGCCTCAAGGTTGTGCGTGTTGTGGCTTCACAAATGCTTTGCTGCATACCTCGGTTGTAACGAGTGGTTATTTCAGACAAAGTTGCTCTTCTATCAGCTTGAATCAGTCGGCCCATTCTCCTCTGACCTCTAGCATCAACAAGGCATTTTCGCCCACAGGACTGACGCATACGGGATGTTTTTCCCTTTTCACACCATTCTTTGTAAACCCTAGAAATGGTTGTGCGTGAAAATCCCAGTAACTGAGCAGATTGTGAAATACTCAGACCGGCCCGTCTGGCACCAACAACCATGCCACGCTCAAAATTGCTTAAATCACCTTTCTTTCCCATTCTGACATTCAGTTTGGAGTTCAGGAGATTGTCTTGACCAGGACCACACCCCTAAATGCATTGAAGCAACTGCCATGTGATTGGTTGATTAGATAATTGCATTAATGAGAAATTGAACAGGTGTTCCTAATAATCCTTTAGGTGAGTGTATTACATGCATATTACACAATATAGTGATTTATATTATATCAAATTATAAAAGTATAATTCTTTAATATGCACAACTCAAGTGTTGTCCATGTTGATTAAACAGTAGTAGTAAACACTGCATCGGGACCCAGTTGATCAGAACACAGCTATTGTTTCCTCACAGCATTTCTTCTGAACACAGACTGATTATAATGTTGGTGTAATGAGAATTTTTTTTTATAAATGATTCTTATATTGTTTTGCTTTGCTTTGGCTAACAGATATTTTAGGGAACGCATATATCTCCATGTTTTTCACCAGTGGACAGAAGCCACAGCTCTCTCAACAGGCTCTCGGTGCCTATGCACAGGCTGTGAGTATCTCTCTCTCGTGGATCACCTAAATCATTAATATAGTGGTTGACTGACATCATCATCATCTTATCTTTTGATTTTATCTATCTATATTTACAGGAGAAAATCGACAAAGCATCCTCAATGAATCCTGACCTCCACTTCAACAGAGCTACGGTAACAATTCTTTCAGTTGCTTTCACGCATGCTTTCTCAAATACAGGTGAGCACCAGCAAATGTGTCACAGTGAGATTATTCAATAAACGCTGTGCATTTTTATTATCCTTACTTCATCTCCTGCTTTCTGCTCTTCTCTGGCTTTCTCATTCAACCTCTTACCTGATGGAAGCCTGTTAATACAGTTTGGTTACCAGGCAAAACACTGATTTTGGGTACCAGTCAACCCAAAGAATCCAACATGTCCTTTCTGTCACCAGTTGTTCCAGTATGAGGAGATGTTCAGTTCAGCTCTGGATGGATACAGTCGTGCTGCAGCCCTGGACCCTGGCTGGGAAGACGCTCAGGAGAGGGAAAAACAGCTGCTCAAATACCTAGACCAGATTACAATGTTATTAGAGAACAAGGTGAGAGAAAATGGCAGCGACATTGTAACATTTGTGGTGCATTTACACTGACGCAGATCGGGTGTTTCAATTCATCCCTATGGGAGTTGAGCTATTGTGGGATTGACGCCGGATCAGAGAAAGTGTTGAGAAGTCAAAGTACTTTGAAAAGTTCAGGAAGGCTCAACTTTATGCAAACGTCAAGTGAAAAATGGCTGGTGGCAGCCAATAGTTGTCAGGTACAAGTAGTGATGTCTGTCATGAGTAGGGATGTAACGATTCACTCACAACCGGTTGAAAATCGCTAAAAATGTGTGACGATTCAAGACGGTTGAAATGTTAATTCATTAATGGATGGAACTTGATCTTGTGTGAGCCAAGCTCAACTTCCATACGAATGAACTGAAAACGCTTGGTTTTCTCCACTCGCGCCGCGCCAGTGTGTGCCATAGACCGGTGTGCACGCGCCGTCAAACAGTAGACATGGCGACGGCAAGCGTAGATGTTGACGTTGACTCATTCAAATCGGAGGTGTGGCGGCATTTTGACTTTCCGTAGACTAATAATAATCCCCACCGTGAGAAGCATCAGTCACCTCCGTTTTCATGTAAAAGTCATTAATACGACAATTGCGAGAGCCACGGAGATCACAAGGTGCATCGGTGTTTCCGTGGCAACCAGGTGTTGTATTTATTTTACTACCTCTTTCTCTAAATGTGTTTTTTTTAACTCTTACTAGTGTAATGATACAAATTATAACAAAATTAGAATCTTGCCTTTATTACAATGTAAAACCCCTGTCAATCTGGTACTAATTTTACAGTCTTTTACATAGTGTGCGAAGGTACCAGTGTCCAGCCTCTTGACCAAACAGACAGGAAGACTGAGTTGAAACAACCTTGAAGGGAATTTTTTTAATGTAGTTTTATTATTTGACAAATATATTTTAAATTAAAAAGAAATGTGCAGCATTTTGTCTGAGAAATAATAAAAGGGACACTTTTGGCTTAAATCTCATTTGTTAAAAAAATCGTGAGAAAATCGTATCGTGAAACCAGTATCCTGAATCGTATCGCATCGTGAGATGAGTGAATCGTTACATCCCTAGTTGTGAGCGTTTCAAAATTTGTTTATTGTTCTGGAGTTTCTGTTGAATTTAGTGTGTAAACCCCTACTTGAATTGCAGTTTGGATGCTTTGTGAATTAAATCGCTGGGTTTACAAAAGTTCATTAAATTGACACTCTATCTTAAAGCTGCAGTCCGGCATTTTTCCTCTTTGTCGCCATCTCTGTTCGAAATCTGCAATTGCAGTCATTCGCGGAATTATCAACTTTACGTGGGTTGTAGTTCAACACCCTCGACACCGCACAGCGCGGATGAACACAGTGTTTGAGGAGAGTGTGCAGCTGTCAGTCACCGCGCCGATGTGGATACTGGCTTTCAGAATCACAGATTATTCTTTTTGGAAGTATGACCAACATAAGAATTTTCACCGGGAAATGTCATCTGAACTAGTAAGAAACATTCACTTTTGTTCTGGTTCTGACATTGCAGTAAATCGCGCTGATTAAATCTAACAATTGCTTATAAGTAATCATTTCACGCAAAACCGTGCAAAGTAGCTATACTATGTTCTCTAATTGTTAATGTTAACAACGTCAGCAAGCATTGCGTGACTACATCATGTAATGTCCTTCCGATATTATCCTTGTTTTCGCATGTGTCCGGTTGCAGTCTCTTTTTTTCTGTAGCCACTCCGAAGTCCGAACGAAGTCTTTTGCATGTTACAGCGGGTGAGTCTCTAGTTGTCACTGATGATGATCGTCGTTTGAACCTTTCTAGATCCGCCATCAAATTGATAAGTTTAATTATATCAAGTGCTGTGAGAAAAGGCTATAAATCTCCACCTCCAACATCCTCACACGCAACATAGCTTATACTAGCCGAGACTCCTTCTTTATGTGTACAGATGTGTGTGTACAGATGTGACGTAATGACGCAAAGACATGCTCGAATCTCCCGCGGAAATCCACCAGTCCCACTGGAGTTAAAAACATTATTACAAGCTTACTGCTTTGAATCGAGCTAAGGCAAGCAGATAGTTTTGAACACTGGCTGGTTATGTATTTTATCAAATATGTATTTTGGATAATTTTTAACCCAAAAAAAGCTACGGACAGCAGCTTTAACTTTGAGCATATGATGATTAAATTAACCTTGTACTTAAAAAACAACAACATTGATTAAACACACTCGCTACAGAAACACCCCAAAGCCGTTGTAGTGTTTTGAGTGGCACTGAGTAGAGTTTTGCCGTGCAATATACACACACCCTTATGTAGAATCTTTATTTAGTTTCATCAAAAAGGTTGTTTGGTTGTTGTTTTGGGTTGTTTTCATCAGATGGCAGTGGAGTACAGTTAAATAATATTCCAGATGTCCACAAGCAATCACAATAACCACACTCTCTTTGTGTTTCAGGGAAAAGTAAAGGCGCGGCGTCTTCGTAACATGCTCTCGTCCCTCAGTACCTCCGCCCTGGGCCCGTGCTCTTCCCCTCAGTTCCGGTCTCCCTCGGGCCGCGTGGGAAGCCTTGAACCCCGCATCTTATCCGCCCTCACTCACGGCCACAACGGCGGGGTGGCAGCACTTGGAAAAGTTGTGTTCAGCCTGATGTCAGAGGGCCGTATGGCTTTGTGAGTTTAAATGCCTCGGCTGAATGTTTAATAAACTTTTCTCAATATGTATGCATAGCATACATCTATGCTAGCAGTCAGATACTCGATATAGCCTAGTTAACTTAAAGGTGCAGTAAGTGATTTCTGAGAAACACTGTTGATAATAGAAATCAACCTAAACAAACGCATCCCTCCCTTCATTGCTCCGCCCACAAAATGCACGAGAGTGGATGTCTCTTTATCATGCCTGAAGGTAAGCAAAATAATGCTTCGTGAAAAATAAAGCAAAGATGACTAATGAATAACAAGGAGGAACATACAGTACATAAGAGTAATACAAGCAAGAGTTGGTTATTAGTCGCCAGCAGCAGCAGCTCCAGACAAACAATGACACTCAACTGTCCTGTTACTAAAGCTCACATTACAACAGCATATCTTGATTCTGTGAAATAGATCAAAAACAATGTTACTCACGTATGAAGCAGAAACAACGAAACCTCTGCGTCCGTTTTCTGGCCTTCCCGCTGTGGTCTCTCCAGCGCTGGAAATCTTTTCTAATATTAAAGCGGGTCCTAAAGCTCTTGCCTGATCATAACCCTTCTTTTCCAGTGATATTCCTCTGAGCTTTTCTCTTTTGTAATGTCTCTCAGCATCTCTCTTTCTACAGTCTTTCTTCAAATCTCCCTCTTGCTCTCTCTCTCTCCTCCCCCATCATGAATGGACACGCCCCCTACTGCTGATTGGCTCACTCTCTCCTACCCCATCATGAGTGGACACACCCCCTACTGCTGATTGGCTCACTCTCTCTCCTCCCCATCATGAGTGGACACGCCCCCTACTGCTGATTGGCTCACTCTCTCTCCTCCCTCATCATGAGTGGACCGTCCCCTACTGCTGATTGGCTCACTCTCTCTCCTCCCAATCATGAGTGGACATGCCCCCTACTGCTGATTGGCTCACTCCCTCTCAGAAATCACTTACTGCACCTTTAAATGTTTGCTTTTAGCATTGTGTTTTACTTTTTAAATGGTTTCCTGTTGTTGTTTTGCAGCACATTTGGCATGGTGGACAGTGATGAGACATGTTGTCTAGTCATGGTGTACAATACAGCAGACAGCTGGGGTGTTTTAATAGGAGATACTGTAGTCATTCCTGAACCACAGGTCAAACGGCACAGCGTAACACATAAAGATAAGGTTTGTGTACCAAACTTTAAAGTTTTATATCTTTACTTATATCTTTACACTACCGATTAAAGTTTGGGGTCTGTAAAATCTCTTATGCTCGCCATGACTGCATTTACACAATCAAATATACATTAACATATATTAAAATTATTTCAATTAATTTGAATATTTTCAGCATCATTACTCCAGTCTCCACCGTCACATGGTCCTTCAGAAATCATTCTATTGGCCTGTTCAGACCAAGGATAACTATAACAAAATAGTTCTAAAAATCATTCTAAATATAAAAGAATATCAGAGTTCACACCACAACTATCCAACAATATAATTTCTCTGTTCCCTTTCGTTAATCACTTTCAGAACGATTTTTTTTTCCAGCTGATGATTGTTAAAAACTTTAACAGCCAATCAGAATCCATTCTGCTCTAAAGAGCTCGAGCATTTAAAGCGACAGATGACAACTTCAGCGCATGCTTAGAATAAACAGAACGATATCGTACGTTGGTGTGAACGCTAATATAGTTATTGCTCTTATGTTGATTTGGTGTTTAAGAAATATTTCTTATTTTTAATCAATGTTAAGTCAATGTGCTGCCTAATAGTTTTGTGGAAACGGTTGTAAAATTGTTTTTTTAGGATTCTTTAATGAATAGAGTTCAGCAGCATTTTTTTAAAGATAGAAATCTTTTGTAACATAAATGTCTTTAATGTCACTTTTGATCAATTTAATGTGTACTTGCTAAATAAAAGCATTAATTTCGTCTTAAAAAAAAAATATATATATATATATATATCCTACTAACCCCAAACTTTTGAACGGTAGTGTATAGATTTACAAAATGAAGCTAATTTAACCCTCTGGTTCTGCTCGCGTGGCTGTTTATTTCAATGAAATGAATGTACTATATTTTAGTTTGATAATGTTTATTGTTTCATATTTTTAGGGTATTTTATGGTACTAAATTATATGTATGCAGTGTTCACATAGCAAGTTTTGTAACGTTATGAAGAAAAAATTCTAAAATACCAAAATGTAAACATTTTTTGACCAAAGAGCACCAGAGGGTTAAACAAGTTTGCAGCTATAGGTGTGATAACTACAAAGTGCTTAGTTTTTGCATTATTATAGGTGTAATAACTACTGATGTCTTTGTAATATGTTTCTTGTTTGCTTCTCCCTATACAGTCATATGACTTCCGAAGTATACGTGTGGACTCTCCCTTGCTCCTCATAGTCAATGGGAAAAAACAGGTGATGAAAAGCCAAAGTGCAGCCTTTGTTACTTACAAACCACAGAGTGAATGAAAACCCAGAGACAGGACGTACAGTGAGAACATTGAGAGCAATGAGGGGTAGTGTTTTTTCCATTTGTATATATTTTGTTCTGTTCCTGTTTGTGAGGACAGGAAAACTCTTTGTACATATTTTGTCAAATCATTTCCCTTTTTAATTGTCCTCTTGTCTGTTGATGGGCATCATTGTTTTAGATTGTGTTGTGGTCTGTTTCATATTTGGGTTGTGAAAATAACAATAAAAAAAAACCCAGTAGTGCTCTTAAGTCTTACTCTCATCAGTTTGGCAGTGCTTGCAGATAATAAACCTAATTTACATAGGGGTTTTCACATATATTTTAATTGAGTTTTTTCGACACTGAAGTCATTTACATTAGTAGAAAGAAAGTAACATGTTGGGAGTATTTACAACCATCTCCAAACTCTGAGCAACAGCTTTATCAATAAATAACACGTTTGAAAAAACATGAAAAACTAAACAGAAACAACCATACTTGGCCGTAAGAACTGGAATCAGAATTCATAAATGGGGGAAAAAAAGGCTGATACAGCTCCTGGTGACCTCAGTGTTTCTTGATGAAAGAGTGGGTTCTGTCACGGGTGGGTGTGTTGAACTGGAAGAAACTTTGAGTATTTTCTGGTCCCAATGAGAAAAACCTGTCGCTGTCTGGTCTCAGGAATGAAGGACTATGGGGAGAGTGTTGTTTGACCAACCCTGATGACAATAATTGCAAAGACATACTATGCTTTAAAACAGTCGATCACATTTGAACAATTTAACTCTCAGTGGGATAAAGAACGCTTTACCTGCTTGAATGCAATAGAAATAGACTCATACAGTGTCAAAGTAGACTATTGCTATTATACTTGTTTCTACCCGTTGCTTTTTCCCTCTAACCTGTAGTGAAAGTGTGGGGTGTGGGATCTTTCTCTCCTATTCCCAGAGTGTGCATACGAAGCGAGTCGAGAAGTCCCTGCAGCTTCTGATATTGCTTGTTCCGTTCATTCAGTCGCTCCAAAACCTCATTGTACTTCTGCTTGTATTCCTCCAGCCCCTGGAGAATGTAAAAGTTGGAAATTAACATTTATTAAGTCTGGAAGCTTGTTTCCGCCACAGAATAAAACATTTTAGAAGATAATTGTGACTTTTTATCTCACAATTGTGAGTTTACATCTCGTTTACATTTATATCTCGCAATTCTGACTATATAACACGTAATTGCGACTTTATATCTCGCAATTCTGACACCTTTTCTCAGAATTGTGAGATAAACTCGCAATTGCAAGTTATAAAGTCCAATTCATTGCAAGACTTTATAACACGCAATTGTGACTTAATATCATGCAATTCTAACTTCATATCTCCCATTTTCGTGTTATAAAGTCAGAATTGCGAGATATAAACATTCAATTCTGAGAAAACAAGTCTGAATTGTAAAGTCCTTTTTTATTTTTTATTCTGTGGCGGAAACGAGCTTCAATAGTTAAGAGATGTTTGAATGAAATACAAAAAAGTATCCCTCTCATGCTTTTACATTCACTGAGACAAAACATTATGACCAGACGCAGGTGAATCGAATATCGTGTTTCTGCATTTGGTTGCGTTGTGAGCATGTGTTATTAAACTGAAGAAGATGTTTTCTCAATTTGCTGGCATTTTTTCTATTTGCATGCGTTTTCTTCAATTGCAGCGCATTGAGCTCTCTCAACCACTGTAGCTAAAGGTACTTGCTTCAATATCTGAAATCCCAAAGCAAATATTTGGGGGGGAATTGATGTAGTGATATTGTAAAATGCTATTAAAATATTTTAATGTAATTTCAAATGTAATTTATCCGAGTTATGGTAAAGCTGAATTTTAAACATCATTACTCCAGTCTTTGGTGTCAAATGATCCTTTAGAGGTCATTCTAATATGATAATAGGGTGCTTAAGAAATAATTATTATTATAAACGATGAAAACAGTTGTGCTGCTTAATATTTTTGAGGAAGTATATGCTTTTCAGGATTTTTTCATGAATAGAAAGTTCAAAGAACAGCATTTATTTGAAATAGATTTTTTTATAACAATGTATACTTTGTCAATTTAATGCATTCATTTAATGAAATGAGTTGCACTTTTTTTTTGTTGAAAAACAAGAAATATGGTTAACATGTTTGGTCTTCTCATCATTTCATAGTTTTGATAACATTTCTATTATTCGGAATTGTGGAAACCTGTTCTTTTTTTTTACTGTCACTGACAGCGATTATCAGCATTGGTTTGATGGCATGATCATGTTTGAGACCTTTTTCAGTGATGCGATCTCCCCCCTTAATGCATTTAACTCGAGCTCTCTGCTCTGGTTCTGCTGGATCATAAACTTCTCCATCTGGAGCATTTGTCCCCCAGCCCTGGACATATTGTACTCCATCAGCAACCTCTCCTGGTTTACCTGAAAATGACCACAAACAATAGTTTTAAAAAAAAGACTCTTCTCTGTTTCTGTGTGTGGGATTGCAACGATGCAGACATCAAACCTGGTAGGTCCAAAAGACTAGTGCTTTATGACTGATCTCCAAAACCGTTTCAGGTTGCAGTCCGACCAAAACCATAGCCTTGTATTGCTCAGATGGTGCCAGCTCTGTTCTCAGCACGTCTAGTTTTCCTGAAAGCATGGTGGAGCAAGCGGGACAAACTGAAGGTGTGCGACTGAACTCTACCGAACCGTGTTGATCACAGAACACATGAGAGCAGGCCGTGACCCACGCGAACCCACTCAGCTTTGCCCGGCATTGATGCGAATTACACTGTAAGGTGTATTTAGATGCAGACATGGCGGCTCTTATGGAAGAAAACAGACAAAAGCGGTTAAATGTAGCCAAATGGTTGTGTATTTAATAGGTTTGTATGATTAACGTTAAGCAAACGAACAATTTTCTGTGCGCGCTTTATCAGATAACAGCAAAGAGCGGGAAAAGTATTTCCCTCTCACATATCTGTTCGGATACTAAAACGCTAAATCAAACTAATGCTGTTATAAATATATATCGCTCTTCACAAATAAGTAACTTAGCTTTATAAGCTCATGATAGTTACCGAGAATTTGCAACTGTGTTGTTCATTGTGTCCAGTCAGTCAGTCAGTCACAGGTAGATCGCAGCGCGAGCGCAATTGGCCTCATCTGATTGGTTACTGCCGACTGAGCAAACACGTCATTTCATCCTCCTGAGACCCAGGGGGAAAAAAGTTATATTTTATTAATGTGTTACGCCATGTCCACTGTAGTGGACACCAGGACTAAAATAAAATAAAAAGACATACAATGACATGTAGGCTGTAGGCAGAAACAAAGGGATTTTATTAATTCACCAATCAATTTTTAGGTTTCAGGATTTTTTAACCAAACTTTGTATAAAGATGATTCTCAACTATGTTATGAAAGATATAACGGAATGAATTGATATACCATTTTACTTTGCAATATGTGGGTAAAATGGGTACTGGTAGTCAATATAATTTGTATATAAACGTGTTCTTCGGGCAAAATGTAATGAAAACAGACGGGTAATAATTGGAAACATTTTCATAATAATAATAATATTTCATATGAATATTAATATAATATTTCTTTCCCTATTCCCTTGCTGTGTCTCCTAAAATGCCTGATAAACATGATGCAAGTCCTGGTGTCTCTACAGTGTAATCAATGCCATGTTTTATATCAGTCATATTTTGAGAAACACCATAACATTTTCAAGAGATGTCGATTTATGCCAAACAATTTGAAAATTAGTCTGATTTAAATGGTAATTAAAAAATATTATCATATTTCCATAAGAGTGCTATTTGATCACTAAATTAATGTCCGTCTTTTTTAAAGACCAATGAGAAGTTGTCAAGGTGAAACTTCCAAACATTTGATGTATCTGAAATGCCCTGAATGTGCTCTTTACAGGACATCCATGTAGTGCCAGAGAAATTCATTAAAATCTAATGTCCTACAGACACAAGTCTATTCCTGGGTCTATGCAGAAGAATTCAATCTATTCAGAAGAATTGACATTCATTGGTCAAGTATGCTGCACTTACCAAATAAATTGCTGGTTTGCTCTAAAAGAAACAGGAAACAAGTTTCATGACAATGGACTGTTTTTTACATAGATGTGATGTACAGACTGTACAAAATATAATACTATAGTTTAGGGGAAGAATAGGGGAAACTAACTCTAGTAGCCTATATGATTTAAAAGATTATATTGTTGATCTCTTGCTCACCAATGCAAGAGATCAGTATATCCTATACAACCAGAACAGTAATATTTAGTCTTATTGGTTATCAATGTTGAAAACAGTTGTGCTGCTTAATATTTCTGACAGATACAGCATTTCTTCATGCTGTTAAGTGCATCAACTGAGCATGAGAAAGGTATAGGGTGGGGGGAAATGCACCCTGACAAAGCAATTTGCTTTATAGGCATTTACACCAAAATCTGAGTAAAAGCAGTTTTAGCTTCAAATTAAAAAGACCAGCTAAAACAACAGTATAAATATTAATATGTATTAATGAACCATTCAGAAAATCAATTTGAAAATTATTGTTAGCTGATGCTAACTGGCCAAGTCCAAAAATGTTTATTCAACCACTTACTTAAATTACATTTGATGGGAAAACAAAGGATGTGATGTTCAGAACATTATGATGGGGCGTTTTACCTCAGACTTGGTTTAAACTTTTTTATGTAATTCTGAAAATATAATTATATTTTCCCTATAAATAACATGTTCTCCCTAACTAGGCCTCACTATTCTCATATGTGATGTTCTGCAAAACAATAAGCTTTCAAACACCTTTTTTCTTACTGTTAAAAATTAAATCACATAACGTGATTTTTTAGATTGACTAGGTATTATGATGAGCAAACACATTTTATTTGATATTTGAAAAATGTGTTCGTTTGTATGTGGCAACTTTGTACCTCCTCTGAATAGGATTGAATAAATGTTTATGTCAGTCAGTGTTTTGGCTGATTTGAAATGATTAAATAAGGAGCTACATTTCTTTTTTCCCCCATTTTTTATTTGTTTAAACAACAATCAACAACAAACATTCACACATCAACACAACCAATAACACAGCATTCATATAGACATTGTGCTTTTACATTGTGTAGACAAAGTAAGCATATCAGTAAATCATAAGCAAAACCTGACACCAGCATCAGTTTGTCCACTTACAGTTATAATTGGTTTTGAAGATAATTTATGAAAGGACGCCACATGACAGTGAACATAAGACTTGGAGCAAGGACATTTTCTTATTTTTTTGTTGCACAGTTAAGTAAATCGTTTAAAAAAAGAAAAGAAGAAGCCCAGATCATTCCAAATCAGCCTAATTTTTTGTCCATCCAGAACATTTTCCCTACACAATTCAGCCAAATTTACAGTAGGCCTATAGGCTATTCTACAATAGGCCTATAATAATATTATTTGTGATGTTTAATTTTTTTTATTTTTTAAATAAGGTTCATTTTATGCCAAATGCGCTCACATGTAAGATAACCTACTTTATGTGGACAGCTTGGCCTTATGTGAGATACGGTGCAGGTCGGGTGCTTGTTTTTGATACATCTAATTAAAAATGGCTTTTCACTTCATCCCTCCTCCACGTGGTGTATGGGAACAGAGGCGGGGGTGAAAGGGGGGCATTGTGCGGAGCGGCAATGGATCCTGGGGGTGAGGAGAGAGAAAGAGATGCCCACTCAACTGTGTCCAGGTCGCCATTGTTGGAAATTCCCTTCCCATTCAATGCATTTTAAATAGAGCTCCGAATATTCGGACGCACCGACAAAGTGAGCGAGCCGCAGGGGGTCTTTACTGCAGTAGCGCGTGCAGTTATAGTCTAAAGCCGCTTGACGTATAGGCTGCCTCATCCCATCACCTTCCTCATCATCATCTCCCTCAAGTCATTATTATTCATCATCATCATTATTATTATTATTATTTAACATAACTTTCTCATCTGGCATTTTCCCCCCATTAACCTACAGTAGCATAATTTTCCTATAGGCTAATTTCTAAGTTCTTTATAGGTAACCTGATTAGGTCTACAGTTAAAAAAAAAGTCTATTTAAATTTCCCATAAATCTTAGACAAAAGGTGTCTTATAGGCGCGCTAAATGAAGTGCAGTCATTAAGTTGTTTTAAAACGGACAGATGATGTCAGAATCTTGAAGGGTATGAACTTTTTTTTTTTTTGCATAAATTAGGCTACAAGTGTTTATGTAGATATAACGTCAGGAAATTTCATCTTGACGCATATTGATAAAACTCGGTTGTCTAAATTACTAGAGAGCTGATGCTTTCAGCATTAAGAGAAACGCAAAAGAGGGAGAAAGAAAGAAAGAAAAAGAGACGGTGTTCCGCACCATTGAAATGCAAATGTCAGAACAAGGGGAGATTGTATTTTTGTGTGAGTGTGTGTGTGTGTCTTTGGATAGGAGGGGAGGGGGGTCCGCAGAGTGGACAAGTTTGAGAAAGAGGGGACTTGTTGAGGAAAAACAGCCACACACGCACTCGCCAGTTCACACAGCAACAGTGGACGACGTCACGGTCTGCTTCAGCAGTCCACGCGAATTTTAAGGTGTTTTTTTTTTCTTTTTACTTACTTTTTAACAGATGTCGGTGCTGTCTTAACGCGTCCTGCCAGGTGGATTATTGGCGAACAAGGGGGTTCGTAATTTATTTATTCACAACATAACTTGCAAAGTTGTTTGATGCCCGTAACTCTCACCGTCTGCTCGTGAATCATGTCACGCCGGAAACAGAAACGGCCCCAACAGCTTGTTAACTCAGACCCCGGGGGCACGCGCTTGATACTGCAAGGTGAGGAAATCATTCATTTGTTAATTATTTGTTACCCTAGACTAATTAATGCTTTAAGGTTTAAAGACGATAGGTTAATAAAACGCTTTTTGCAGTTTACATTGAGCACCTGTTACCCAAATAGTATTTTATATCAAAAAATGTCTTTATTGCTTAAATTGGGCACTTTTATCACCTGAAGTGTTATGATACATGTTAAAATGCACTAGAGCGTTTGGCCCTTTACTCAGTGAGCCATTGTTTGAGAGCTGCAACACATAGCTCAAATTTCTATCATGACTGAACTTTTCAAAAATAAGTAGTTTACTGACATTTCCCGCTAAAAATGTCTGCCAAATGTGTTGTATTGAAAGAAGGCTCTTATAGACATAGCCAGAGGGTTGGTCTAAAGGTGTTCAGCCGTATGGCCGGTCATTATGTTGACATGAATCACTCAGGGGCCATAACTGCGTTAGCTTTTCAGTAATGTCAATCCACCAAGAGACTTGCAGCATAGTCAGTTTGATTGCTGGGGGTCTTTTATGCATTTAGAGGAGTCTCCTATTCAGTGTGAATAAGGTGCAGGCAAGGGGGAGGGGACGAAGGGGGTGTTTGGGTAAAGATTAATCTCTTCTCACTCTATTCTGTCCTCTTCTCCCTTATTCTCTCTCTCATGTTTCCATGTGCTCCTCTTTTCTGCTTCCACTGTGTTCCCCCCCCTTCCCACTCCCTTGCCTCTTTTCACTTTGTACCTCTGCTCAGTTGGGGGTTCCACTGTTAGAATACAGAGAGGAGAAAGAATGCACTGTTGCATGCATGCATGCATGGAAGGAAAAAAGTTAGCTCAGGAATCTTAGAGATACAGCACTTTTGTGATTTGATTTCTATAGCTTTTGGCAAGAAAAGGTAGTATGTTGTGAGGGAATTTCTCAGGGTTTTAAAATGTTTAGGCATTTCAGTAGATTTGATTCCACAGGTACAGTCATTTAGTATATCCGTGTGCCACAGAGAGTGAAAATAGTTTGTCTGTCAGTCAACCCACTATTTTCCCAACCCCCTTCTTCTAGTTCTTTTTCTCCGCTCAAGATTCTAAAAGAATTTGACCTTAGAGCTCATGAGGTTAGGTCATCTAGCCAATCAGAGCACATGGACAGTGCCCAAAACCCTTTCTATGCCATAACCTCTGACCCTGTGTAGGGTCAGGGGGGAAGGGTGAATAGAGAGATGAAAGATGTAGTTGATGGACAGAGGGTTGGGTTAAGAGGGGTTGTGGGTTG